TCCGAAAGCTTGCAATTTTCCCCGTTTCCGTTTCAGGAGTCCGCCTCAGAAGTTAAAAGAAGTTTTTATTTCATGCGCATGGGAGCGAAACACAGAGTCACTCGGTGTATTTTTCTCATATTAACCTAGAACAGTTCTTCAATATTTTTCTGTTATCTTTCACGCTTTCCTTTTTATCACACAATTGCCAGCGTTTGTAGCACACATTTCTATTCATTACTGTGCTTATAACATTGGCATTGTTCCAAAATCACACACATTCTCCTACCTCCCCATTTGCAGGCGATACGTTTTTTTAGATACAATTGGTCACTTCCGTTCGTAGCATGCATTCCTATGTTATCCTGAGCTTACAAGATTGGCGGTGTTCCAAAATCACGCACATTCTCCTACCTCCCTATTTGCTGGAGATCACATTTTTTGAATACAATTGGCTGCTTTCGTTCGTAGCACACATTCCTATAGAGTGGTATAGAATCACATTGTAGCTCTGTGTCCACTCAGGTATTAGCGCGCGCTGTATCGTAGTACGTGGGCTGTGTATTCGACATGTATTCAAATTGAAAATATGAAAACCCGTCCCGATTTTTCAGTGCACACAACAAAGATCCAGGGTCATATGGCGTACAACTTGTGGTACGTGTGCCATGGTTTGAGAACCACTGGGCTAGAGGAAGCTCCTGCACACCTGCAGCATACACAACAGAGCCAGAGAAACGGACGGAGATCTAGCATATAGTGGGAAGGGAAAGAAGCAGTAAATCTGAAGTGTGATCTGCTGCTTGAACAAATGGCAGTACAAATGGGGAGTGAAATCTGGCTCCTGTTCCGTTCTTCACTTTCTCATATAGTGGGTGCAGTTAAAAAACAATTTGGTGATCCTCTCAGAGCTGCAGATTTTCGTCAGATTCGCTTGGAGAAGGCTGAGCTGTCACGTAATCCCATGCTGACAGATGGGTGCTGTAAGCAGCACCCTGTCAGCCAGGGCTGTCGGCCCCCCAGCACCTGTTGTTCTTGTGAATTCTGACTGTTTGTTGGCGAGAGCTCATTAACCACACTGAGTCACTGTCCCTGGCTGACAGGCTGGGGCCAGCCTCCCGCTGCCTTCCTGTCTCAGCACCAGGCGAGCTCCCCGACCCCTCGCCGGGAGTCGTGGCGCGCGGGAGCGAGGGCGTCCGCCCCAGGGCAGTGTGGGAAATGTGCTTTGCTTTCTCTCCGGCTCTTCCCCAGTGTAGGGCCGGGGGTTAATGGGTGTCCCCTGGGGGCGGTGATTGCAGGGAGGAGAAAAGAGAGTGTGGTGGGGTGGGGGTGGTGGAGAGAGCAAACCCGGAGCGACGGTGACACCCGCCATGATGTCTCCATTCAGAAAACATGGTCAAGGGCCTGGATGGGGATGAGACTCATTTCCTGGACGAGGTTTCCAGGCAACAGCTGCTGCTGGAGAGGCAGCGCAGAGAGGAGGACATGAAGGAGCTGAAGGAGTACAGAATATCCTTTCTGACGGGCTGGGGGCTCCCCGGACCCCCCTGTAGGGCTGCTGAGTGGGGTTCAAACTGGTGATGGTAACAATGTGAGTGAGCAGACTACCTCTCCCAAATCTCACATCTTACATTCACTATATATAGTATTTTTTCCTCTGGAAGCACATGATTTTCCAAAAGTTGTGGGCCCCGTTTAAAATTATTCTGTAGTTTTTTTTGTTTTTTTAGATTAAATATCCTCCTCTTGAGGTCCCATCCTTGTCCACAAGGGCGGCGAAAGTGTTCCTCCAGAAGATGGGGATGTGATTAGGGACCTTCCTACTCCTGTTAGTAGCCTCTTTATTTCTCTCTCACTCTCTCTTCTGCCCGGCTGAAATTACACAAGAAAATGTTTGCTTTTTCAGAGCTTGTCCAGGGTGCAGGCTCTGCGCCTGACAGCCTGGCGCCGAGCTGCCTTTGAACCCCACAGTCCTGGCAGTTGCTATGGGAACTAATTGAGCCGTGAACGCACACGTTATTGTCATCCGCGTGACGACACCATCTAGAGCGCCTCATGCAATTTATTCTACAAATAAACACGAGGGCTGTGAGCTTGTTTTATTTTAGAGAGTGTTATCTCTACCTTTATCATCATGAAATTGAAGATCCCTTTGGATCGTATTTGAGAAAGTCCAGTTATTTTTGCATTATAGTCCACACCGGGCAACAAAGTCAATGGTGATATTCTAGGTTTAAAGTTGTTTTTGGAAGCATTTTTTACAACTGTCTGTCCTGTGCCTGTTCCCCCCAGCGACCTGTCCCCGGACCGAGCTCTGTGCTGTATCCCTGTATCCCTG